CCCTGCTTCAGGGCACTCCTGATACAAAATGATTACAGCACACTGCAGTGGTTATCATGTTTGTTATTTAAATTTAGAAAATGATCTTGTTTTTAAAGTAATTGAATAATAAATATTTCTGAAGCAATATGAACATGAATTTTCCATTTTCCATTTCACTAAAAAGTGAAATTAACAAATCACATAACTTAGATCAACAAATTTTTTTTTTTTTAATTTTCTATTAAAATCTACATAATTCCAATGTTGGTTGTCACTTCAAAATAATTAATTTTCTATTGGTTAGACCCCTAGGTATTAATGACAAGTGGCTAGGATCTTCTGTTTAAGCAATCACAAGAACACTATATTAATAACTGTAATGAATGAAAATATACATTCTTCTACTAACTTTTTCACTCTTTTTTTTTTCTCAGTGGCTATGTACAAAGAACCGTCACTTCATGATCTAACAGAGTTTTCCAGATCTGGTAGTGGAACTCCAACAAAAAGCAGAAGTGTCTCTGGAGTTTTAAATGGGGGTAAATCTATGAGCCAAAATGAGTCAACGTAGCCAGTTGTACGTCATATCGGTGGCTACATTATTTACAGTAAATGGAACCTTACCTCTGGATGCTGTTGAATTCTTACAAGCAGTCTTTCATCTAAAAAAAATCAATTATTTAGGACAAGCACCGAACTTGCATAAATCATTCACGTCAGTCATTAGATCTCTGGGTTTTTACCAGATCCCATTGTTTTAGAATGTGCTTTTTGCATCTCAGAAGGCACGTGGATAGCCAGCAAAACATATTGTGGAATAAAGCATAGAGAGGACATGCTTTGCTCTCTGTTTATATCACCTATGCTTTGTGGATAACCAAACTGAAACATTTCACCGAACTCAATGCAGTCAAGAATTTGCTTTCCAACCAAGAATAAAAAGACCACTTTTACTCTTTAAAGAAAAAATTTACTGCTTATATGTTTTATAGGGGCGAGCATAAACAATGTAAATCTGTTTGTTTTCTTGGCTTAAAGTTTTATATATAAGCTTGATTACATGTATAATTAATTTTGACAAAAAAAAAGTGCAACACTTTGATTTTCACAGATAATGAACTCTGCTGGGTATTTAATGCTGAGTCTAAATGCCGAACTCAGATCAGGAGGTAGCATTTGAGACTCAAGTAAACAGTGTTTCTGCAAATTAAACCATGGCAAAATATAATTTTTATATATATATATATATATATATATATATATATATATATATTTGTAGTATTCTGGTATTCTGGTCAAGGTATAGAGTTGACCACTAATCTGTAGACAAACAAGTGTATTGTTGTCATCCCCAGACAATAGAACAAACCGTAAATAGATACAAATGTCCATCACTGTCATTTTTCTCTTAATTTCATTTTTGTGTATAATGTTAAATAAATGTTGTGGCTTCTTTTCTAAAGAACAAAATAATAAACTGTGGAATTAAGGTGATCATTTTTATAAAAATGTCTTATTTGTAAAAGTCCTTTTTCCAATGTTACAAAGTATGTGAGTATTGTAGACAAGGAGACATTTGGACAGGCATTGTCTAAACAACATATAACTATGCCTGCTATTTAATCAAAGTGTTAATTATTTAGTTAGTTTTCCATTTATATCATCATATTAAGTGCATGGATGAAAGAGGGAAATTGAATAGAGGTGCATGAATTGTTTGGTTTTGTGCATTAAACAATGTTGGATTTGTGCTCCATAAATACCATACGATAGGCCAAGAGTTTTTCATGTCTTGTAGAAAATGTTTATTTGCTGTATACACAAAAATGCACTGAATAAACAATTTATATTAATATGTACTTTAAAAAAATAATAATAATATATATACTCCCTTTGTTTGGCAGAATGTGTTTCTTTTTGTTTTATCAACCAAAATGAAATTAATATTTTGGAATTAAAGCAGGCTATGCATCATTGCTGTTTACATGTTCGGTTGTTATAATTTATTACCAATTTTATTTTAGAAAATACATTTTCTTTATTTTGTTATTTTTTTTTTAAAATAGAACTCTGTTTACTTTGAAGCAGATTGTGCACTTGTAAAATAAATGTTTCCTTCAGTTAAATTAGAATTGTGTCCATTTTTTTCCTATTAGCAATGCCAGACAAATTTGCGAACACACACGACAAATATCGAATGTTTTATGTTATGAAGTCATTTATAGAAAAATTATAGTTTTCGTCAAGTTCACCTATTCTAGTCATAGTTGTTAAAATAAAAATGTGCATAGTTAATTGTATGCAAAATACCAGTAATTCATTCTCAAAGATACGTGTAATCAAAAAGTACAGATTAACACAGATTTTATGCTTGGCAGCCAGTAAAAGTACATTTTAATTTTTATTTTGTTTCCACAACTATCACAGAGTTCGCAGGTTGACATGTTTCCACAACTTTCCCAGAATTCCCAACTTGACATGCAAATGAGCACAGACAGACATTGTGCTTCAGATTTGATCCTGTATTTCTGCAGGAATTTGCTTAGAGTACCTGTAGAAATGCAGGATGAAGTCTAAAACACAATACCTGTGTGTGGGACTTAACTCTGGGATAGAAATGATGTTTCAAGTTTCTGATCCCAAAGTAGATTTTCCAAAGTCCAATCCGATTTGAGATATGCAGATGATACACAACAGTATTATAAATATATAGAGAGAGAGAATTGGAGTAGAGAATGTAGCCATATTAATCTAGTGATGCAGATTTAAAATAACAGCCACAATTATTCTGTTAGTCCAATAAAAATTGTATTACAAGATACTAATTTCATCTGTAATTTGCTATGTATAAATACATATCTGGCACATGGAAGAAAAAATTATAAATCTAAATAAGGTGATAAAAGTGACAAGGAGGGTAGTATAATTATTAAGATACAAGGGACATAGGGAAAGGAAAACCAAACAACAACAACAACAAAAATCACACAACCGCTTGAATTTGCCAATTTTTTTTTTTTATGTTTAATGTCTATTCTAAACACTAACAAAATATTTTCTAATAACATCAGTGAGATAATTATTTACAGGGTTACAAGTGAAAATTAAAGTGAATTTCAAATTTAAGGCCAAAGTAGCCTTTAATTCAGCAACTACTCCTTAAATTTAAAATTTTCTTTGAATTTTATTCAATTTGCTTGCAATTTTCATTCTAGTATAATCCTGCTAAGCTATTTTTATAGTCTAAAATGTTTATCTTCCTTAGACAATTTTTGAAATGGATACTCCAAGCACCAAAACAAGTTTAGCTTAATGAAACTTTTTTTTTTTTTTTTGCGTATAGATTATGCCTCTGCAGTCTCACAGTTCAATTATCTGCAATTTAGGGAAATAAATAATTTTTGTTTCTGTTTTTGCAGCCATAGCCACACCTGCTATAGCCGTGATTCACACAGTCAAAATGAGAAGAAAAAAAAACACTGCACAATCGCTTCTAATAGCACAGTGTGTTTACTTTAACAGTTCCTCACACTTGAGACTCCTGAAGGCTCTAACAGACAATTAACAGAGCAGGGGTTAATAAATTCTAAATGAAACACACTGTGCAATAAAATAAGTTTTAAAATTAGTTATCTTTTTACATGACATATGTATGGAGGCTGTGTGAATCACAGGTAGGAGAGGTGTGGCTAAGGCTTTATATGGCTAAGTGACTGACTCCTAAATGGCAGAAAATTGAGCAGTAAGAATGCAAGGGCAATATCTGTACACCAAACCTGCTTCAATAAGCTAAAATAGTTCCAGTGCTTCGGGTGACCATTTAAGTTTTATGTTACCACAGTTGAGTAACTTTGTATCCTTTATTTTAACAATAGTAATTTGCGTAACGCACATAATGGCATAAGTATAGTGCGTGATTTGGAATACACCCAAGCTTTTGCTACTTTACATAAACACTGTGTTATGTGGTATCTCAACCAAAACTTTTAAGGTGTTTAAGCATTTTTAAAAATTCAAAATTTACTACCAATATGAGTTGCAAAATGTTTTTGCAGAAAGTTACTTAAAGCTTTTTTTATCATGACTAAATAGTAATTTTCTCAAATTTAATTAGTGTCGGGATAACAAATCCCACAGCAATAGATGTATTCATCTAGATTATGCCAAACAGGATAGAGACAAATAATTTAACATACACTGAACAAAATAATAAATACAACACTTTTGTTTTTGCCCCCATTTTTCTTTAGATCTAAGACTTTTTCTATGTACACAATAGGCCTATTTCTCTCAAATATTGTTCACAAATCTGTCTAAATCTGTGTTAGTGAGCACTTCTCCTTTGCCAAGATAATCCATTCACCTCAAAGGTGTGGCATATCAAGATGCTGATTAGACGGTATGATTATTACACAGGTGTGCCTTAGGCTGGCCACAATAAAAGTCCACTCTAAAATGTGCAGTCTCTCCTAAGTTCCAGACACCATCGAATGTGAGCATTTGCCCACTCAAGTCGGTTAAGACAACAAACTGCAGTCAGGCCGAGGCCCTGATGAGGATGACGAGCATGCAGATGAGCTTCCCTGAATGGTTTCTGACATTTTGTGCAGAAATTCTGTGGTTATGCAAACCGATGGTTGCTGCACCTGTCCAAGTGGCTGGTCTCAGATGATTTTGGAGGTGAAGATGCTGGATGTGGAGGTCCTGGACTAGTGTGGTTACACGTGGTTTGCAGTTGTGAGGCCAGTTGGATGTACTGGCAAATTCTCTGAAAGCCTTTGGAGACGGCTTATGGTAGAGCAATGAACATTCAATTCATGGGCAACAGCTCTGGTGGATTGCATGCTCCCTCAAAACTTGCAACATCTGTGGCATTGTGCTGTGTGATAAAACTGCACATTTTAGAGTGGCCTTTTATTGTGGCCAGCCTAAGGCACACCTGTGCAATAATCATGCTGTCTAATCAGCATCTTGATATGCCACACCTGTGAGGTGGATGGATTATCTCGGCAAAGGAGAAGTGCTATTTCTCTCAAAAATTGTAAACAGATCTGTCTAAATTTGTGCTCACTAAAACAGATTTAGACAGATTTGTGTACAATATTTGAGAGAAATAGGCCTTTTGTGTACATAGAAAAAGTCTTAGATCTTTAAGTTCAGCTCATGAAAAATGGGGCAAAAACAAAAGTGTTGCATTTATAATTTTGTTCAGTGTTTGAAAGGAAATATATACAATTGCATCCATTCCTAATTGCGCACTGCGCACTGTTCCCAGAACAAACAGGATATAAACAAGAGATGATATAACCTGTAATAGACATACTGTACAAGCACTTCCTAACTGTGGCTTATACACTATATTTCCTTTCAAGACCTTTCATCTCCTTTCTACAGATGTTAAAACAGATGATGCCCTCAATTGCTTAATTCCCCTATGGATACACTTGGCTGAAATTATCTATGCAGTTGAGTGGTTCTGTATTTTGCAAGTTGTCATGTACAATAATTTGCAAAGCTTATATCAGAGCGTTATCACTGTGTAGTCGCAAAATCACACAGTTCAAATGAATAGCTTTCTACTTTAATGCTCAAATACAGATAATGCATAAGTAGGTATTTCTGAATATTTGTTATACTGTTAATACATCTGTAGTCATTTATTTTTTTTAACTGCTAACAAACCATTCACTATATACATAGAGTGAGTTTGTATAAGGCTACAAGACAGTTGAGATGCAAGGAAAAAATCTATTTGCAGTGATTAAAAGCTGAACTGGCTGGTTTTATGGAAAATCATATAGCTAGCATAGTTATATAAATGATAGATAGATAGATAGATATATTTGAAATGTATATCTCTCTGAGAGTGTGCAATGCAAGAAGTAAATACAAATATATACAAAGATTGTCAAGTTAACATTTTAGAATTATCACACCTCCTTTCATGTGCTATCTATGCCTGAAAATGTGTGTCTAAGTAGAACTCATCAATTTGTGAATTCACCAATTTGCTTTTGATACATTTTGCAAAAGCTGGGTTTTGGCACCTATCCCAAGTTTTACTTAGCACCTATTTTTGAATCTGTATCACATCCGTTCCTTTGTCTATGTATTTCTTATTGAACAACATACAAATGAAGAAAAGTTACATTAAAAAAACATTTTAGTGGGCGCGGCGGGCATAATAAACGGCAAGTACTGGGGCACCTACCTACCCTAAACCAGCCCGGGACCGGGTCAAACAATACAGCTCACAATGGGGAAGAAGGCAAAAAAGCTAAAAACCCTTACCGGGAACGGCACCCGTGATATCGCTGACCTCCTACAGCCGCGGCCTAGACCCAAAATGGCGCCGCACATAGAAGCCTATTCTACATCTTCTGAGGAAGAAATTCTAGACGCACCTGATGAAATCCCCTGTCCAGGGAGCATGAACAGCCCTCAGAGAGAGGAAGACCTAACAGCCCCAGCTACAAAAGGGGACATCAAAGCTCTATTAACGAATATAAGAGCTTTCTTCAATGCAGACTTGAACATTATGTGTGAGGATATCACAGTGGTGACAGCAAGACTGCAGGCTAACGAGGATGCCATAACCTCCCTAGCCCAAAAGCAAGAAAGCACCAACGAGCACTTGCTACAGCTCCAAGCATCACACAAAAGCATGCAGGTCAGACTGGACACCCAGGACGACGCAAGGAGGCGTAATAATCTTAAAATCAGGGGTATAGCCGAATCAGTTACCGACCAGGAACTGCCCCATTTCTTACGCCGACTATGGACTACCCTACTGCCACAGCGCTCTGCGAAGAGCATTCAGGTAGACGGCTGCTATAGACTGGCTAAGTCAAACAGGGCCCCGGCTGGGGTTCCCCGAGACGTCCTGATACGTTTCCCGCTACTTCGCGACAAGCTGGCACTGCAGGATGCTGCAAAATCCAGAACACCTCTTAAGTTCGAGGAAATGCAACTCCAACTCTTACAGGACTTATGCCGCTCCACTCTGGAATGGAGACGGTCTTTTCAACAGGTGACAAAGATCCTACGCTCTGCAGACGTCAGCTACAAATGGGGGCCCTCTCGAGCTCTAATAGTCCAGAAAGACGGGAGCATGCATCAGCTTTCCACCACAGAGGACTCAGCGACATTCCTGCAAGGACTGGGCCTTACCATGTCTTCTGACAACACGGCACGTCCAAGCCACAGATGGGACATACGCAGGATTGTCCCTTTTACCCCACGCTCTGCAGATGACACCGGCTGACTGATGATGCACCAGCAGTCACAAAGACCTGGACTGATTCCCACACCAGTACCAGACACCGGTTAACCCCCGATGTTTCAATGTTTAAATGCTATATGTCTAAATGCTATCGTTTTAATGTTTTCGCACCGCCCGGCACTGTTAGAATTCCCGGGTCATAAATAATACAGATGACCCTAGGCGACCGCACACTTCTTACAGTATGTCCCGATTAGAGGACACAGACACCGGAGTTTCCCCTCCGCTCACCTCCCCATCCCCCTCCCCCCCCCAACACTCTGGGGTAACTGAGTGTAAATCGATAATCAACACACCCGACTGACCACAATTTTGCCTAAGTGTAAGACAGGACCACGGATGCTCAATGCATCTCCTAATACTTCACTCACCATACTACCTTACAATGCTTAGCCACTTGCCTATGTTTATGCAAAGGTCAGCCACTCTCCCTTTACAGTAGCCCCAGACATCTACTGGTTAGCCTGAAAGCTAAGCTACCATAAAATCTTTAAAATGTGCGATATATACAAATGCCATAACCCTGTTTTATATGTCTTGTTATCGATCTGTGTGCAGAGGCTGTTGTGGCTTACTGAACACTATGTTATTTCTTTGCACGCTATAAATAAAGAATTAAAAAAAAAAAAAAACATTTTAGTGTAGAAATTTTGTACACAGCTTCAAAACTAAAATGTTAAATAGTATTTTTTTCATTAAAACCATTTCAAAATCTACACCCCTAAAGCACTTTAGCTTGCTGAAAAGCTTCATGTGTCCTCTATTTTTCATTTTAAGAAGTGAAGATTTAAATAGAAATTGACACTTTTATTAATTAACCTGGTTACACCCCTCCAGCTGTCAATCAGACAACTGGTCTTGTAAGTTAGTAAGTAGAGATGTCGCGAACTGCTCGCCGAACTGTTCGCGAACTGTCCGCCGGTGAACAATAGCGTGTTCGCGTTGGGCGAACATATGCGATTTCCGGTCCGCCCCCTATTCGTCATCATTGAGTACACTTTGACCCGGAACCTCACAGTCAGCAGACACATTCCAGCCAATCAGCAGCAGACCTACCCTCCCAGGAAGTGTCTGCTGACTGTGAGGTTCCGGGTCAAAGCGTACTCAATGATGACGAATAGGGGGCGGACCAGAAATTGCATATGTTCATCCAACGCGAACACGCTATTGTTCGCCGGCGGACAGTTCGCGAACAGCTCGGCCAGCAGTTTGCGACATCTCTATTAGTAAGTAGTTTGTTTAGCCCACTGGAGACAAATTCAAGAGGCAGCAATTGGAAAGTCTGTGATTGGACAGGCACAGAAAGTCTAGGTTGTTAAAGAAGGGGAGGGTTTGTTACGTGTTCAGACAAGAGAACTGTCACTTTTGCAAGTTGTTTTTAGTAGTACAGTAATTTACAGTAATTTTTATTTCTTTTGTATTTCGGCAGAGGAGTGTCCCGTTAATGTTAACATAATTTTTTTGAGTATTTTCTTAATATTATTTTATTGTCATAAAATGTTTACATCGAAATGATATTTGATTAAACAATACTGTGAAGGTCCACATCCCTTTGTATAGGAAATGTAAAAGGATGCCCTCTCTCCAGCGGTGGATGTCCAGAGTAGAGGAAATTTACAATATGGACTATCTCACTGCCTCTCTATATGATCACTCTGCTAAGTGTGCCAAATTGTACATTGAAAGGATGCCCCATCAAGTTTAGTGGAGTTAGGTCCTACTCATTTGGTAGGAGTAGGTGGTGACGGGGTGAGACCATGTCAAGGGTTTGTGTTTCCAAGCATAATATAATCAACCTAGGGTGTCTCCTCTTGTGGGAGATGTGGGTGTGTGGCTGGTCTTCCCTTGTCTAATCATATGCTTTATTCCCCTTTCCCTTCCTCACCCCTTTTTTTCCTAAGGGCTTTACACTGAGAAATTCCCCAAATGCTGCCCTTGAGTTCTTAAGACTTGTTCATTTCGCTAGGACGGTTATGCTATTTATTTTCCTTGTATGTGCCATGTGCATCCCATGTCCTGTTACTTTGTTTTGTCCTTTTGGAAAATCTTTGCAAAATAAAGATTGTAATATAAAAATTATATATATATATATATATATATATATATATATATATACACATATACATATAATCACATACTCAGAAAGGATGCAAATATTTCCATGACCTGTTGAGTACCATTTAATGCAAAGTGTCACATACAGTTCTATGAAGAAATAATTACACATAATATAATTTATCTCCTAAGAAATAAATTATCAGTATGTTCCTGATTACAGATGCCAATATAATTTATTCCTTAACAATATAAAGATATAAAGGCTTGACAACCCTTTCTGGCATGTCATTAGTTAGCTTGCTTATTAAATATCCCAAACAATGCTTTTAAACTTTGCCATACCAAGCTACAGCTTCATCTGAAATCCATCAACTGTAGAAGACTCATAAATATATTTGAAAGCCTCTTAAATAGCCACAAATCATCAATTAAAGGACCACTATAGTGCCAGGAAAACATACTCGTTTTCCTGGCACTATAGTGCCCTGAGGGTGCCCCCACCCTCAGGGACCCCCTCCCGCCCGGCTCTGGAAGGGGAAAGGGGTAAAAACTTACCTTTTTCCAGCGCTGGGCGGAGAGCTCTCCTCCTCCTCTCCGCCTCCGTTACGCCCCGCCGGCTGAATGCGCACGCGCGGCAAGAGCTGCGCGCGCATTCAGCCGGTCTCATAGGAAAGCATTTACAATGCTTTCCTATGGACGCTGGCGTGCTCTCACTGTGAAAATCACAGTGAGAAGCACGCAAGCGCCTCTAGTGGCTGTCAATGAGACAGCCACTAGAGGAT